CCGATTAAAATGGTTTTAAATCATAAAAAATAGTTACAAATTGTCATGCATTAATATATTTCCTATAAAAATTCATTAATGTTTAACTTCAACTGATTGTTGAAGTTTGGCAACAACCAAAATTTTGTTTACGGGATAAGTTGAAAAAGTTAACACCGAATTTGAAAACTGCAACCCTAATACAGTTTATGTTTAATTACGTGTTTTTATTTCATGCATAGATAAATTACGTAAAAATTGTCAGTTGACTTAGACTTGTTTTGAAGGAAAGATAATTACTAAAGTTGTTTTTATTCTATTTAACCCACAGTGTGTCTGGATAAAAAATATTTGCTAATAATTAATGTAGTAATTTAAGAATGAATTCTGATTGGTGTATAGTTGGAAAACAACACAAATCAAATATTGTGAAAAAATGAACGAATTCCAATTAATGCAACAAAATGTCATATGAGAAATTTCTAATGGCGACTGACTGTTTAGCAGTCATCAACAATAAATGAGTCAAAATTGTCTTAGTCACGTACTTTGAAACGTCAGTGAATTAATGCAAATCTAGTATTTATCGAAATGTATTAAGATTTTGATATGCGATATTATTTGCATATAGGCATTTATATTACATACCAAATATATATATTTTGACTTTGTAATTTATGACGACGTAAATTTCTAAAGTTTTTGTCTGAGCTTTAGAATAATAAAATAACGAAGTCGTCACTTGAATTGAATTTGTAATAATAATTACAGTGATCTGATCGGTTAAGTCGTAACGACACATGTATTAAATCAAAGCTGTTGAAAACTACGAAACCTAAGCTCAGATTTCCCCTGATGCTATTTATTTTATATAACCAAGACCTGTGTCAAACATCTCGCGATTATCATAGATACAAAAACTCAGCTGGAAAGACCACATTAAAAATTGAGGTTTCACACACATAAACTATTTCTAGGAAGCGGCGTCCATAAGCATTTCTGGTGGACTGTGAACTAAGCCAGCAATGCAACAGTTAAAGTAATTTTAAACATGGCAGCCCTGTACATTGTCCGTTGTATAGTCGCGAAGTATGCTCTAAGAGTTAAGGAAGTTGGGTGCATGAATAAGTCCGGAAAAAGACATGCCAAAATTTTCCCCTTTTATTCCAAGAAATTTTAATAACAGCGACGCAGATGTAACTCGTGGCGACTTTTTCTCTGAGTGTTTTTTCGGATGTGTCGAAGTTAAGAGGGAAGGTTTCTGTAAACAGCTCTGCGTCAATCTTAGCTTTAGGCTATCAGACCACTGTAAATTTTTTCAGACAGAAGTGGCTGCTACATATTAAGGTGGGAGTAGAAGTACAGTTACAAAGTGCAGATGCCTGGTCTTGGCGGAATCGAATGAGACCGAGTTGGATCTCCATTGGCATCTTGCGTTCTAGCACTGGACCAATTAACCCTGCGTACGCTTATATGGCGCTTGTTGACGTCCCATTCCTGTGCGACTGCAATATCCTTTTGACCAAAAGTAGAACACAGGAGATCATCCGAATTACTTGCCCTTAGTAAAGTTCATCTTGCCGCTATAGTGGGAATTTTACATTGTCCAATAGGCGGTTCAAGCGGTAAGGTTAAATATATTGACACAAAATTTCAAAGTACAATAGTATAGAAGAGTAGTGAGCTGAGGACGAAATATCGCGGCTGTCTTACTCTCGGCTAACCAGGAAAAACTGATATTGGCCGTCTGAACAAATTTGTGAAAGGCTCGAAGCGTCTTGTCGATTTGTAAGGGTCTAATGATCTACTATTATTTAAGAGTTTGAGGAAAGACTGCCGACCTGCTAAGCTATTCGAGTGAGATACCCGTTAGGATCGAAATCTTTCTCTTAATTATATATTTTAAGTACTTAACTGCATTAAGAATTATGAAAATTATTAAGTAAATAACTCATTATTAAAACCATAACGATTATATACAGTGCTGGGGTAAACCATTTTCATTGGGGTAACGTTACTTGTGAATTCTAATTTAACAATATATTAAATATTCTGATATTTTGAAGATATATGCCTTACCTTGGTAACTGGTTTCTCAGCCTGGGTATTGCGGCATCTATAAATAAAAAATAGAGAGAATATTAAATAGGCTGAGTTTTTAATTAAGTATATAATATATTTTTTAAATCATTATTTATTAATTTCTAAAAAGTATATTTATGCTTACTACTGAAATTCCTTCATTTACCGGATTTTTTCTCTCGTTTCAGATAGAGAATACAGCAAAACAATCATTAAGGTAAGTTACTTTTCAAGTTTAGTTTGTAAGCATAAGAAAGAATATACATATTGGAAAATATATTTACATAAAAGGTACTAATTATCGATAAATATCTGAAGTATTTGAAAATATTATAATTTGGTCTTTAATATGTTATAATATTTAAATATAATAATATATAATATTTAAAGGGTATCAGTAGTAGATTTTTGCGGATTAAATCTTTAAAAACTGAACACAACATTGTAAAGTGATCTGTAAATAATCAAAATGTCATTGAATTCAAATATGCAAGGAAATTTAAGTCAGTTACAAATTTAAAATGATTTGTTTTGTATTTTAAGTTTGAATTAAAATTAATCATAGAATTGAAAGAAATTTGTTCCAAATATCGTCAATGATCTAATTAGTCCATTTAAACTGCGCGAGCAAATTATATCCACAGAATCTCCTAGATTGGTACAACCCTTTTTTATGTTCCTGTGAAGTTTGATTTCCAATGTCGATTAATGTATGCTTAGCAGCTGATACTTTACCACGCGAAAAGATATTACCAAAGAAAAAGAAATTTAATAAATTTCCTTGAACTTGTTTTTGCCAATAAAGTAACGGCTACGGAATGATTGAAAGTGTTTTAGGGTGTTTTTATCACTAACCCAAGAATTGAGTGACACAAAACATTATGTGAAAATTGTGTAGTAATCGAAAATTCCCTTCCACCTCTGCTAATAATATGGAAAAAGTTAAAGAAACATTGTTTGAAATTCGTAATGTTGGCATCAAAGAGATAACAGAAGAGATCAACACATTTTGGTTAGAGTTTGTGGTATAGAAAGCGTCAATGCTAGACACGTATCAAAAGACCTAAATCTTTTGCAAAAGCGACGTCGAGCAAAAGAAAAGTTGGAGGCTCCATATTACGCCGCGATTCGTCGTAGTTTAAACGCTTTTCCTACATCACCAACTAAATGTATCTTAGGAGAAAGTGGCTTACCGTCAATAAAGGAAAGAGCTTACGAAAAAATGATACAACTTCTTCCAAAAATACTTAATTCTCCAAACACTGGCATTCAGAAATGTATAACGCTTGCAGCTAAACACAAAAGGAATTTTCAACTCAAGTCTACCCTCCGCCGTTGTCTTCAGTTTGCAAAAACTTTAAACATTCATCCCATCGAAATTTTATACAACCAACACTCAACCTGAATGGCTGATTAGTGATGTTTCAATAGATACATCTCTACATAATTTCAAAAAATCCACCACCAGTAACACAGTTTTTCAACAAAACTTCTTAGAAGTAACCAACGTCTATAAGAATAAAAAATTTAAAGAAATTTTTACAGACGCATCCAAATTAACTCATACTGCCTATGCTGTTACCACAGCTAACGGGACAACTATTACTGGCGGAATCCTTCCATCATATTCGTCCGTATTTACCGCCGGGGCAATTGGAATATATATGGCATTAAAATATGCTATCTTACAGAAAGGCAAATTCCTTATTTGCACAGACAGCTTCTCCTCCTTGAACGCTATACGCAACATACGAAATAATTCCACAGTAATATCTAAAATTAGAGATATTTGCATTAAATATAAAAGAAAAATAGCTTTTCTCTGGGTGCCAGGTCACGTTGGCATTCCAGGGAACGAATATGCTGACAACGCGGCAAGATTCTTCGAATCTGCCCCACGTTTCTTAACGAGGTGCAAGACCAAAATGATCTCAGTAAAATGTTAAGCAGACACATATATGAAAAGAAAGTTGCGGACTGGAAGAAATTTAAACACCAATACGCAATCGTAAACAAACTACGCGAAAAGGTACACTACTCCAACAACATCTCAAGACAGCAAGCAACAATGTTCACTCGATTAAGGATCGGACACACGCAAATCACTCACCAACATCTTCTTGGCGGCGATCCGACACCATCCTGCCCATTCTGCCCCAGCACATTATCCATGGAACATATATTCAATATCTGTCCARYACTAGAGAGTATTAGGCAAAAACACTTTAATTCTAGTAAATATCAAACATTGTTAAATACACCATCTTTCGCAAACATTGTTAATATATGTAATTTTCTAAAAGAATGTAATTTTTATAATAAAATATAAACTTTGTAATTTTATACTATTATATCGGAGGCGATGGCCATAGTAGCTTGTACTCCTTTCTTACTATTAGGTTTAATATTTTGTATATTTTTCCAAATAAAATAATAATAATAATAATAAAGTATATACATGCATACTTTTTTTTGTTTTTTGCTATGAAAATATAAATAATAATAAAGAGTTATTTTTAAATATTGTACATATATGTATGTATAAATAAAAATCAAAAAATTTTCTTCTCAAGTTAAGAATACTTTTAAATTTCTCAATTGCTACAATAAAACCTAATTATGGAAAACAAGTATTACTAGCACACTGTGAACTATTTATTTTTAATTGTTTGCACTTAGCTGTCATTTTGAATGAATAGTTTTACTGCTTTTACTGTTAGATAACCGACGTCAGAGATGTCGAATTGAACAAGTTACACATGCTCTCATGAAGTTATGAAAACTGGCAGATATCTTTTTACTTCACTTCTCTGATATTATGATGCTCACTGTTCACGATTGAAGTCGTTTGCCCAGACTGTGACAAACAGACGGACATGGCTAAATCGACTCAGCTCAACCTACTGATCATTTATATATGTATATACTTCATAGGGTCTCCGACGCTTCTTCTGGATGTTACAAACTTCGTAACAAAGTTAAAATACCCTGTTCAGGGTATAATTACGAAAATACTACAAGAAAGTCAATGAGGTCATAAAAAGAAATTCTTTGAAATGACTGAAGCTCTTCGTGGCCAGCAGCCATAGCGTGGGTTTTTTGTTTAACATTTATTTTTAAATAGAACTAATATAGCATGTTGGCAGTTGCTTCCGTTCTCAAAAATGTTAATATATATTGCATAGTATTAGATTATATCACGCACATTTATCGTAAGAAATAACAGCTTCCGAGAATTTTACCATTAAATATTTTAATCTACGAACTGTTTATGAAAACGTTGTCAAGTTGCAGTATTTTTTGGCTTCAATTTTCAAGGAAATTGAGTAAAGCAAATTTTTAAGAATTTTTTATTTGTGCAAAATTATTGACATTTTTTAATTATTAGTAATTTTTCATTATTATTTTATACACTGGAGATCTAATTTCTTGGGACGGCTTTGGAATACCGTTCCACCATTATTTGCAGTCAAGTTATTCTTATTATTTAGGACTTTTTGCTTTCCTTAATTAAGTCGATTTTTATTACTTTTGCTGAAAAAAAATGTAACGTTATGTACATAATAAAAAAACATTATTTCAAAAGTGTGTAAGTAAGAAAAAAAAGCAGAGCTCTCTTTATAACACTTGAAAATGAGCAGAAATATTCGAAGAAGTTTCACGTGCGACTATGAAAACAAACTTTATAAGTTGATGCTTACGTGAGTCAATTGAGAATCGCAAGACCAAAATAAATAATAACATAAATAACTCTATAAGCAAGAAAAAAGAACCAATATAAAAACAAAATCAAATAACAAAGGAAAGATTGATAAAAAGGCGGCGTACCTGTCACGAACGTTGTTCAAAAACCAATAATAATAAAGAAAAACACAAAACAAAGTAAGCGAAAAAGGCTATAAAAATAAACGGTAGCAAAATACTAGACTCGAGACATCAAAAATCGCATATCAATAAAAAAATTTCAAATCTAAATTCCTCTTTTTGACAAGACTTTCACAATATCGTTGCAAGAATTAGATTTATATGCGAAAACGTGTTAAATTACAAGTGAATACTGGACGCAGGCGCTTTGGCTAGCAATAGATCAAACGCATTCGTACAATATCTTTTTCGTTTTGGTCCAAAATTGTGGCAAATATTCGCTTTTCGAACTGATTGAATATTTTCGGTTTTTTGTTTTTGAAAATAAGTAAATAAAAATTGAATATAATAATAATAAATCAAACCAAGCGCACATACACTCAAGCAAAGAAATCAAAAATCTGAAAAGTAAAAAGAAACTTTTGGCAAGCAACGGGAAATAGAAACGAATTTACAAGACGACGAAACACAACAGATGGAGGCAAACGAACGGCAAACGTGGTACTTTTCCACTTTACTCGTCTTCTGTTTTCACAAGTGAGTATTCGGTTTGGATAGTAATTGTAAAAGATTATTAAATGCACGGACAACGAATGTTGAATTTGTATCATACTATTTGAAAAATAATCCTTAAAATAGGAAAACAAATGGTTAGATGTTGTAAAATATAAAACTTTCAGCTATCTATACATTGAGCCAAAGCGCGCTGTGAAATTGTAATTAAATTCCCCGGGTAAATGATATTTCAAAGAAATGTATTTCTCTAAGTAATTAGGTCTGCCTTTAGTTTCAAAATGTTTAACAAAAACACAAACCTTCAAGTGGTACAAATTCTTCAAAGAGAGTCGAGAGATAGCCACGTTGTGGATGTCCTTCAACTGATGAAAAAATTTAAAAAGTGAAAATCGTCAGGCAAGTATTAGAGGGACGATGCTCGACATCTCTCGTGAGTCCATTCAATTGATTTTGATGGATATTTTGTGTATAAAACGCGTTCTTGCTCGCCTCATCCCGATGAAGCTGAATTTTTTTCACATTGAGCCACGAATGTGATCGAGTTTAAAATCAAAAACGCAATGAATCCCATCGACCAATCACCGTACTCACCAGATTAGGCTTCGTGTGATTTTTTCTTGTACCCGAAATTGAAATTGCCGCTCTTTGGAACTCGTTTCAGTGGATTGAAAAGATAAAACAAAATTCGCTGAAGGAGCTGAAAGCCATTACAACAAGTGGCTTATGAAAAGTGTTTTGAGTACCGAAATGTGTATTACAACCGGTGGGTTTAACTTCGAAAATAAATATTGATGAAAAATTAAATATTTTGAGTTTTATTTACAATTTCCGCGTACATTTTTCGTCACAATATATCAGGTATACTAAACTTGTAGTACCGATACTACGCACAGTATACTTAAATAGCGTCAAACACTGATATGAAGTGCTATCCTGGTGCCAATTTTTGTGCTGACTAGGTGATAAATATTATCTTGTTATAAATTTTTTGTAGGATATGATCCACGTGTTCCTTTTAGCTTACTCATCTCACACCTATTCCCCGTACCTTGAATTGGTTGACTGCCAATACAAGTTTGTTTTCTTTCTTGATAGTCAACATCGAAGGAGAAAAGTCCCATGGATATTTTGCTCAAAAATAATAACTGTCCGATTAGACTAAAATTTTGGCATTATTCGTCATTCTCTTGCATGCATATATTATCGAAATGAGAGAAAACAAATCCATGTTGAAAGTAATGACTATTCTTACATATTATATTTAGTCACACACTCTTCCACAAAAGAGTATGACGTACAAACAAAATCAGACACTTTAGGGGTATTCTTTTGCTCTTGCAAAACCCGCTGCAAGAACTTTTCCACATAATACAACGGCACAACAACAAACACACGCAGAAAAATATTTGCAATGGCTGTAAAATATATTAGACCAAAACCAATGTTTATTTTCGCACAATGTCAGGCAAAAATATAATTGCAACCCTGTGCTAGCTGTCATTTTACTTAAATTGTAGAGGAAGGTAAATTTTAAATAGATTTTAGAATTTCACAATAGCCATGCACAATAGTCATTTGCAATAAACTGACCGAATCAGCCGCTCATAAATCACTAGATTTTGCAATAGGTGCTCTCGTGCCCTTGTACATTTCGGTATAGGATCTTTGCAATGTGCAATCTTGCAATACCAAGATAATCCCCTTATTATTTTATCATTGATATCACGGTAATGTTGCAGAAAGTTTCTGATTTCTTTTATTTCTTTTTACTTCATTCCAAAAATAGTATGAAATATGTGGCTTTTATGGCATTCAGTGTGTTATGCTAAACAAATATATAGACAAAGCTAAGAGTATACATATGTATGTGTTTGTTTTCCCTTTGTAAGAATAAATAGAAAAATATGTTATATATTATTATATATGTATTTACAGTTTCTTTGCTCAGGAATGTGGGTGACAAGTGCGTCATAGCTGAACTTGTACTTGAAAGTCATGTAATGAGCTAGTATCCGTCTTAACGGGCACGAGTTGGTCAACTAGTGATGCATGAAAGTGTTAAGAAAGCTACATGTACTCGTATATGCATACAAAATAGAAATGTGTTCACATAGGTAAATAAATGTGTACGTAATTGTTATTGTTACTTCTATTTGCTTGCTTTGCGTTATTATATTATTAAGTAGATGATGTCACTATTTCATCTACAACGCTTCTATTTTTATACCCTGAACAGGATATATTAATTTTGCTACGAAGTTTGTAACACCCTAAAGGAAACGTCGGAGATGCTATAAAATATGTACATATATGTACATACATATATATGTGAAATATTCATAAAGCCCTTAGTAGATTTAGCCATATCTGTATGTCTTAAGATAGACGAAAAATTCTGCAAGTTTTTGATATGTTAATGCGAAATTTTACGCACGTCTTTTGCTCCACAAGTAGATACTTGTTGGAGTCGCCCATACATACGTACATATGTATAGCATATGGTTGCCATACAAACTGAATTATTTAAATCAAGATCTTGTATGGATGACTATTTTATTTTAAAAGCTATCTTCACTACACTGGATACGAATTATTGTTCAAAGCAGAGATACAATCAGTGAATATATGGTTCAGATCGGACTACTATAACATATAGCTGACATACAAACTGATCGATCAAATTCATGTTTTGTATGCAAACTTTATTTTTTATTTGTGAAGGGTATTATAGCTTTCGTTCTGCCGCAGTTAATATTTTATCTTGCTCTAATTACATTATAGAATATAAATATATATACGTGTAACTATAAACAGATATAGAGATATGTCTGTTATTATTAATGATTAATATTCACTGCAATAAATTATATTCTAAGTATATCATTTAATATGACTTGTTGTTGTCGAACATTCTTATGTAATCTTTATAGTTGTCAACGCTCATCTTTTCATTAGCTATATTAAGATATATATTATTGAATATTTTAATTGGTGCAAGCATTTGCTCACAAAAATTGTACAATTAGTACTTCTTTGTCAAAAGTTCCTCATACGTCAAGGCCGTCCTTAAGCGCCTGGTTAATGCTGTACTAAAATGTTGGCGTATTTTTCCTTACCTATATACAAATGTATATATATACAGAACCATAATGTGAATGAAGTTATTATTGATTGAAAAAATTAATAGTTTTTACGTTTTAAGAGTTTTTATTGTACATTTTGTACTAATGAAGGCGTTAACAAGCTGCTAAGTGTAAACGCAAATATTCAGCGTCAAATACGCGAATTTTGACATTGTGATTAACTATTTGCTGATATGACGTAGAGGATTGGCCCCCAACTATGTCGTTTTAAAAAAATTAAAGGAACATTTCTAATATTTTAATAATGCTTAAAAGTATTTAATCGAGTATACAGTTTATTTGTTTTGTAGTATTCAATTAGTCTGGCAAAATGACTGATATATTTCCATCTTAAACAGGATTTACAATGCAAAAAAAGCATAAAGTAAGTTTTAAATGTTGATTTCGCATTCGAAAAATCTTTTCCATTTCAATAAAAAACTAGAAGAGACAAAAACAATTGTTACATTGTGATAAAAAAGCACCCGCAATTGCAATTAAATTACCTAGGTAAATGATACATAAAAAAATGAACTTTGCTAAGATAGTAGGACTTAATTAATATGCCACATTAGAGCGCGATCTGTAATCCACTTGTGTACAGCAGCTACTCAAGTCAGTACACTTTAGCAGTGCGCTGCGATTTTCACATCGGACAAGAATATCCAACAAAGAATTTAGCCAAATTTGGTACGTGGCGAATGTTAAAAAAAAGGCTTATGGTGATTCAGTTTTATCAAAAACAAGCCTACAAGTGGTACAAAGCCTTCAAAGAGGGCCGAGAGATCGTTGCCTCATTCTGGACAACCTTCAACCTCTTCAACTGATGAAAATATTAAAAAAAAGATAAAAGCATATCGTCATACAAGTGTTAGATAGATGGCAAGGGAGCTCCACATCTGTCGCGAGTCCATTCGTATGATTTCGGTTGATATTTTGGGTATGAACCGCGTTTTTGTTCGACTCGTGCCGATAAAGGTGAACTTTTTTTTTTCAAAAGAATGAACATCCTTCGAGAACGGCCGAAACGGAACGAAATATGGAAGCACAATTAACAGATTTTACACGATGATAATGCACCACTGCACCGAGCCACAGCCAACGTAATGAATACCATCGATTATGAGATGATTATGCATGAGAGTATTTTTTACAATTTCCGGGTACTTTTGTCACAATGTTTTTGTTAAACATAGTTTTCCGATTTTCTTCTTTTATCAGTTTTGTGAAACGACGTGCACTTAGCTTTTTAATTAAAGGTAGACAATCAGAAAATAATAATAATCGGTTGTATGAGCGATATGGTATTTAGTTATCTGATCTGACCAACTCCAACAAATATCAATAGAGTATCAAAATCAAATTTCAATTGGATATTTTAAAAACTGACGAGGAAATCTTTGTCTTTAAAATCGCCAGACCTTTATTTGCTTAGGCAGAATTGTCCAGAATAAATCGCAAAATATTTCCCGCATATACGATTTTTTAATTTCTTTTTTGTCTCCCTGAAAACCTACCCGCTCGAGTAATATTTGGGGTGAAGAAACTAGCTTTGGACATAAAACCGTCTACCCAACCACTCAAAAGCTAAAAAAAATCAAATTAACAATCGCGCAACTGCTCTAGATTGTTAGTCAGTTAGTAGAAAGATTAATCGAAAATACCCAAACTTTGCACATGCATACTAATATACATACATAGGCATAAGTTATACATGCAAGCTCTAACTTTGGTGAGCAGATTCAAAGAGTAAAATGCGAGAATTACTGGCCCACAAATGTAAGCCTGTCAGCCAGCAGTGCTGTTTGCGTTTATGCCAACGCTGGCTTAGCTGCCAACATCCACGCCGCCGTCACTGCTAACTTCCCAACACATGCGTATGTATGCATACTAGGCTGT